AAATAGAAAACTTCACAAATGCATTTCAACTGCTGCTGACACCGACAGCAGCTCGAGTTCGAGTTCGAGTTGGAGTTTGAGCAGTTAGAGGTGGCCGTTGGCCCTGATTGAATGTTAAACATTTAATTTAAACTTGTCCACAGGCAGTAGTGGCCCAACCCAAACCCAATTCATTTCAATGCAATCCTGGGCCAACAACACTCAGCCCAACCCAGGGAAACCGAGCCAGCCGAAGTGAGATACGGATTTGAGACGTAATTTATGCACGCACATCAATTCAAATGCATCTAATTTGGTAAACAGACCGAGGAGATTGGGGGAAGCACTCGAAGTAGATGGATATGCAGGGAGAGAAGAAATGCAGACATTTTCGAAATTTTCTATAAAATATATAAATCGGGAATAGATCTAAAAAATCTGATTTAAAAACATATTTCTCTCATTTCAGTTAGTTAATTTAAAAACTAACATGAAATATGTATTATTTAATATTATTTACTATCCAAAATAATGTATTTTACACTTCGGAACCTCTCTTTTATTTGTTAATAAGTTTTAAGATTTATTTAAAATACTTAATATATTATAAACTCGAATTGTTTGCTATATTAGACTCCCTTTCTTCCAAGTTATCAATTCTTTAATCTTTAATTCTTCTCTGGTAAGTTTCTTATATATTTTCTTATCTTAAAAAATCCAAAAACCTTTTCTCTCAGTGCCAACACCGCGTTGCTTGTCACACCTGCCTGCCACTCGACAGACAATCGGCTTAAAATAGTTTTCATTTGTTTTCGGCGGCGAGTGCAACATGTGGCATTGGCAATGCCACTAAGTAGCCCCAGTCTGCCTCATCAGCATCTGCTTAGAGAAGGGTCCCCCTTCTCACTCCGCAATCCTGCATAGTCTCTACTCCACAATCCACAATCCTCTGTCCTCCATCCTCCTCGAAGAACCACAGTAGTTGGTCTCGTCTCGCCTCGCTGGGCTGCCGTACATGCAGCTCATTTAGTTGACATTTATTAACGTCACATAGCGCGCAATGTTTGACAATTAATTAGGCATCCTCAGATGCCGAATGACGGCTTCTGAGTAGCAACTACACAGCTAGATACAGATGCAGATACAAATCAGATGGAGAGACGAGATACAGATACTTATGCAGATACAGATACAGTTCCAGATGTCTAAACAGATACAGATACAGAACTTGAACTTGATTTGAGAGTTTGTTTGGATCCAAAATTAGATCTGCTTTAATTTATAAGTGTTATTTTTACACTTCAGCTGGAGGAGAGGAATAATTAAATAGTTTACTGAATTTTGAAATTAGAAAAAATTTCTAGATAATTTTAAAGATATTTTTTTCAACAAAAATCTTTGGCTATTTTTGGATTAGATTTAACAACAAATTTAATATTTAATTTGTTCAGTAATTTAATGCTGTTCAAATTAATTGTTTTTTTAATAAAAAATATAGAGAATTATGTAATTATTTTAAATGTAATAATTCTAAAATTCTTTTTTCACCCCAAAATAATATTTATAATTTTCAAAAACTGTTTAATAATATTTCTTCAATGCAGATCTTAAAATTGTCCCAAAATCCCTACCACAAACACACTGAAATTCTCATTATGGCTGTATATCCTCCTCGGGGCGTATAATTTTAATCTGCTAATTCAACAATCATTCAATTTTAAACCCCCTTAAGAGATGCCACTTGAGCTCCTCTCTTTTTCGTCCCCTTTTTTTTGGTTCGTCCTGCGCTCGCAAGGAATGCAAACGAGGAGAACTGGCCTGAAAATCACAGCAATTCTCAAAGTAAACACACAGAAATTTTTCCCTCCCCAGGCAGAGTGAGAAAAGCGAACTTTTATTTATAAAACACTCGAAACGAGAAAAAATGTCCAAACTGTTTTTCGGGCATATTGACGCAAGGATTTCCCAGGATAGCAAAAGATGGGGGATTGCCAAAAAAAAAACGAGAGAAGAAGAGAGAAAAAAAACTCCAGAAAGCAATGCAATGTGAAGAGATCAAACAGTCGGCTGAAAGTCCTACGCTTGGGCGAAAGTTTGTTTTGCTTTTTCCTTTCCATTTTTTTTTTTGTGCAAATGTCACATGAAAAATGCGTTTGCTGTTTGCCAAAAATGCCAGCACTTTGCATGGGGCTCAGGTTCACCCCCAATGGAAGAGCTCTGCCACCCCAGAACATCCTATTCTTCAGTTTTTCCAAGGGACTTCTCGGTGTCGGTTGCCTTGCACGAAATTTCCATTTAATGTGTTTGCCCAAAGTATTAAAAGGCGAACGACGATTGAGTATCGGAAAGTAGTAAAGCAAAGCTGGGAGCGAGAATCTGGGGTGTCCAGTCCCATAACGCTGGAGTTGCAATACAGAGATAGAAAAAATCTAAAGGGAAATAGCAATAATTAGGGGTTTATTTAGATTCTTTGTTCAACCCAAGATATTCTTGAGGAAAGTGGAAATTTCTCTTCAATCTCTGATTTGTAATTACTGTTTAAATCTCCTAAAAAGGTGCCAAGACTATACCCTTTTTCTATACATTTTCCTATAGATTTCCCTTATTATTTCTTTCTGTGCTGAGACAAGCTCCCCGACTGACTGCTGAGTGATTGCCATGATAAGTGGCCCATTATGATGCCAGTTTGCACAGCGAGATTGCTCTGCGCTCCATTGGAGTTGGCCGTACTCCGGCCATGGCATCACCATCGACCAGCTACCTCCTCCTCCGGCGATCCGCTTTTAATGCATATCAGAGTGGGCAAACTTCTGGCCAAAAAGTGCGTCATTGTCCGTTCTTTCCCTGCGTTGTCTTCGCGCAAAGTCCGCTCCACCATGCCAGCCAGGCAGCCTCCTGCTCTGGGCAGTGTTCTTTTCGCAACGTCTGTTGACAAAAGACATTTAATTTTCCCCCCAGTACCGAGAGGAGTATCTGTATCTGCCGGGGCCTTGCAATAAAGTTAGTCGTTGTCGTGGTTTCTTTTCTTTACTTGGCTCCTTTTCGAATGGCCCTCCGTCAGTGGCGCGTCTGCCTTTGCTCGATTTTTGGTCTACGCCGGCTAGCGAAAACTTTGATAAGTGAAATTTATTGTGGGTGCTTTGAGTGTCCACTATGATGGGTGCACTGAAATAAATTGTAGTGGGAATTTGCAACATTTTAGGAGCTAAAGCTGGGTTCCTAGCAGGGTTTCTGGATGCAGGAAGGGCTTAAATGTAAATAAGTCCAAGAAAAGCTTAACAATTAATTGATTAAGAGTTAGAATAACATTTTCTATAATTTTCTAGTAAGATTGTATGGATAATTTTCTGAGAAAATAATTTTAAATAAAATATATATATAAAATCCCTCTAAATTCTTATAAAACCTCCCTGATTTTTCCTCTGTGCAGCAACTACAGACAGCAGACTGTCCAACTGATGGCGCTCTTAATGTTTTACGGCATTCAGTTGATGTTTATTATTTTCAGCATAAATCAGAGAAGCAATAACCACAGCCCGCAGAACCTAGCACGATCCGTTTAGCGATCCCAAACAATTCTGTTCTGTCTGGCAGAATTCCTTTACCCATCCTTCACCACCTCCTACGGCCTTCTGTATAGCAATTTAAATATGCTATCCACCCTCGTGGGCAGCTCTCATTAATTTACGTAAAATCCACTTAACTTCTTTCCCGTACGCAATAAATTCCACAACTTTGCGCCTCATCAAACGGAATGAATGCCGAAATTTACCACGCGACAAAGTCAGACAATAGAATAGATAGAAATCTACATGAAGTAGACGCTGCGTCGCCGCTGAATTTCGGAACATGTGGTGTTATGATGAGGATTGGGACTCGTGCCCAGAACCACCCTGCACCAACCACCACCCACAACGGGGCGAAGAACCACCCCAAATCCTTGGACTCGCCAAAGGGTGCATTGATATGCGTAAGCAAAGCGATTTTTTGTGGGGGAATTCCCCCGGAAGAATTACGTGCCGGCAGATCCCCGGACTCATGCCAATGCATTGCCATCATTTCAGGCAATTGTCAAACGGATTCTGGGGGGTGGTGGGTGGATAAATTAGATTTTTACTTGCGCACAATTGCACGGAGAGCCCGACAATGTAATCCTCAGAGGACCCACTCGTAAATATTCATTGCATACGGCCAGGCGTTTGAGCTTAAAGTTCTATCACTCACCTCCTCGGGCGACCCCCCAAAAACCCAGGCAATACTCCCCTTCTGGGCTTTTCAAGGTCTTTGCCAAAATTTGGGGCGGCGGCAATTACATTTTCACCACCCACCCGATGTCCTTGGTAAAAAAAAAGCTTGGGGGTTGGCCTGGGCTTTGTATCCTCCAAGGGTGTCGAACTATAAATTGTACCTTTTGTTGCAGTTTTTGCTCGATTTTCCCAGTGAATGGGGGACAACCCTCGCCGGGACGACGTCTTTAATAAATGTTTGGATGTTTCGTTGCGAGATTAAGTGGATTTCGTTTATGGCATGAGTAATGATGGATGCATAATGCGCACGTATGTGTCAGGTGCCGCGGGGTGGGGCGTCCTCGAGTGGCTGCGGTTCCAAGCCAAGTTGATGGTGGTACAAAGGGACTTGACATTCGGTTAAGGGAATTGGGTATTTCTCTACTTGATGGTAATTCGAATCTTTGGGATAGAAGCGAGGTCTTGTAAAGAGTAAAAGACCTTAGTAAAGTTTATAAATTAAACATTTAATTTATCACAGCTTTCCCTCTTATTCTTTTTCCTTATAATGTTAAATACTCATAGTAAAAAAACATGTTTATTAAGCTTCTATTATATTCAATAATTAATTCCATTCTCATATATTTTATATAGGTCTTATCACGAGCAGGTCATTCTATGTAATCTAGAATTACAAGCAAAGGCAAGCATTATCAGTTTCTTACGACTGCCTCAACCTCCACTAAACAAGCCAATAAATTAATCATTTTAATACAGCTTCAATCAGTTGTCAGCATGTTCTCGAGCAAAGTAGTAAAGTCGTCGTCGGCTACCACGCCAATTATTCAGTTGCAGTATAAAGGATCTAAAGGAACGGGTCCCGATTGGTTGCCTTTGAAACAGGATTGGAGCAAAAGGTTTTGTATCCTTCCGGAACAATATACCGAAGATTTTGCAAGGCGTATAAATGAGTTTGCAACGAGAGACGGCGATGTTTATGTGGTGACATTTATGAAGAGTGGAACAACCTGGATGCAGGAGTTGGCCTGGCTCTTGTTGAATAATCTGGACTTTGACAAAGCTAATAAGAGCCACACTGTAAGACGATGTCCCTATATAGAGTGAGTAGTACTGAAAATATATTGAGAATATTTTAACAAAATATATTGAGACATATTTTGAGAGGTTTCTTCTTCTATAAACCTTTTAAATATATTTTATAAATTTTGGAATCATAAAGAAATACTTAATAATTATTTAAATAATAATGATCATTTTCTTTCAGGCATTCCGTTATAAGAAACAATCTTCATGTGGATAGTATTTCAGTGTGCGATCAGATGCAGGATAATCCTCGTTTTATCAAATCGCACCTTCCCGCACAACTTTTGCCGCGACAAATTTGGGAAAATAAACGAAAAATCATCTACGTGGCCCGTAATCCCAAGGATGTTGTCATATCATCCTTTTACTTTCTCACTAAACTCAACCTTTGGCAGGGAAATATGGATGATTATATAGACGAGTTTATCACAGATCGGATTTATTACGCATCATACTGGTCGCATGTTTTGGACTTTTATCGAATGCGTAACGAAAGTAATGTCTTCTTTGTCACCTTTGAGGAGATGAAACAGGATCTGAAGGATGTCATTGAGAGACTATCTAGGTTTTTGGACTGTAAAGTCTTGAGTGAAATGGAAATTAATATGCTGGTAAAACACTTATCATTCGATCAAATGAAAGGCAAGTCTTCAGTAATTTTAATTGAATATTTAATATCAAGTAAATTTATTTTTCAGAAAACCAGTTTAATAATCCCACGGCATTGATTAGGACTGCTTTTGAGGCAAAAGAGGATTTTAAGTAAGCATAATTTTGTTAAAGAACTTTACAGGAACATTATAGAATATATAATCCTTTTTTTCATAGTTTTATGCGGCGTGGCATTGTGGGATCTTACAAAGATGAACTAAGCTCGGAGCAAATAAGTAAATTGGATAGATGGACTCAAGAGTATTTACAAGAATATGGATTAAATGAATCTGATATTTTTGGAAATATAAAATAAAATTAAATTAAACAAGAGAGAAAGCCAATTTTCGAACGGCGATGATTTGATATCTTTTGCAGTTTGAAATTGTAGTAAAATTTATAAATTAATCATTAAATCTATTACAGCTCTCGCTGTTTTATTTTTCCTTAGCATATTAAAAACGGAAAATAACTATATGTATATAAATTAATTTTTTTTTATAAATTCTTATAGTAAACAATTGTACAAATTTGCTAATAAATCACAGGATTTTGCTCTTTATTACTTTTGTACACGAAAAATAAAGAAAAAAACATGTTTATTGTGCAATTTATTGAAAAATACCAACACATTTGTGACCAACCGCAACCTAGTAACACTGAAAGTATTCTGACCGCTGTGTTTGGTTATCTAAGATAATGAAGATTACCTATCTTCATCCATTTTTGGTTTTTAACGTAGAACGGACAAGTTGAGTTAAACGAAGTGAAGATTAAAGCATAAAACGTTTGTCGAGTTGTTTCTATTTAATTATTTTATATGTAGGTCTTATCAATAAAAGTTCATTCTTATCAGTGTTTTACGAGTGCCTCAACCTGTACTAAACCAATGAATTAATTCTTAAGGTAATATAGCTTCAATCAGTTGCCAGCATGTTCTCGAGCAAAGTAGTAAAGTCGTTGTCGGCTACCAGGCCAATTATTCGGTTGGAGTGTAAAGGATCTAAAGGAACGGTTTCCGATTGGTTGCCTTTGAAACAGGATTGGAGCAAGAGGTTTTGTATCCTTCCGGAACAATATACCGAAGATTTTGCAAGGCGTATAAATGAGTTTGCAACGAGAGACGGCGATGTTTTTGTGGTGACATTTATGAAGAGTGGAACAACCTGGATGCAGGAGTTGGCCTGGCTCTTGTTGAATAATCTGGACTTTGACAAAGCTAATAAGAGCCACACTGTAAGACGATGTCCCCATATAGAGTGAGTAGTACTCAAAATGTATTGAGAATATTTTAACATAATATATTGATACATATTTTGAGAGGTTCCTTCTTCTATAAACCTTTTAAATATATTTTATAAATTTTGGAAGCATAAAGAAATACATAATAATTATTTAAATAATAATGATCATTTTCTTTCAGGCATTCCGTTATAAGAAATAACCTTCATGTGGATAGTATTTCAGTGTGCGATCAGATGCAGGATAATCCTCGTTTTATCAAATCGCACCTTCCCGCACAACTTTTGCCGCGACAAATTTGGGAAAATAAACGAAAAATCATCTACGTGGCCCGTAATCCCAAGGATGTTGTCATATCATCCTTTTACTTTCTCACTAAACTCAACCTTTGGCAGGGAAATATGGATGATTATATAGACGAGTTTATCACAGATCGGATTTATTACGCATCATACTGGTCGAATGTTTTGGACTTTTATCGAATGCGTAACGAAAGTAATGTCTTTTTTGTGACATTTGAGGAGATGAAACAGGATCTGAAGGATGTCATTGAGAGGCTGTCAAGGTTTTTGGACTGCAAAGTCTTGAGTGAAATGGAAGTTGATATGCTGGTAAAACACTTATCATTTGATCAAATGAAAGGCAAGTCTTTAGTAATTTTAATTGAATATTTAATATCAAGTATATTAATTTTTCAGAAAACCAGTTTAATAATCCCACGTCATTGATAAGGGCTGCTTTTGAGGCAAAAGAGGATTTTAAGTAAGCATAATTTTGTTAAAGATCTTTATAGCAACATTATAAAATATATACATTTTTTTCATAGTTTTATGCGGCGTGGCATTGTGGGATCTTACAGAGATGAACTAAGCTCGGAGCAAATAAGTAAATTGGATAGATGGACTCAAGAGTATTTACAAGAATATGGATTAAATGAATCTGATATTTTTGGAAATATAAAATAAAATAAAATTAAACAATTTCGAACGCCGATGATTTTATATCTTTTGCAGTTTGAAATTGTAGTAAAATGTAGTAAAATTTAGAAATTCATCATTAAATCTATCACAGCTTTCCCTTTTTTTATTTTTCCTTAGCATATTAAAAACGGAAAATAAATATATGTATATAAATAATTCTTATAGTAAAAAATTGTACAAATTTGCAAATAAATAACAGAATTTTGCTCTTTATTGTTATTGTACACGAAAAATAAAGAAAAAACCATGTTTATTGTGCATATTTATTGAAAAATACCAACACATTCGTGACCAACCGCAAGCTGGCAACACTGAAAGTTTTCTGACCTCTGTGTTTGGTTATCTAAGATAATGAAGATTACTTATCTTCATCCATTTTTGGTTTTTAACGACAAGTTGTGTTAAACGAAGTGAATATTAAAGCACGTTTGTCGAGTTGTTTCTATTTCATTATTTTATATGTGGGTCTTATCAATAAAAGTTCATTCTTATCAGTGTTTTGCGAGTGCCTCAACCTGTACTAAACCAATGAATTAATTCTTAATTTAATTTAGCTTCAATCAGTTGCCAGCATGTTCTCGAGCAAAGTAGTAAAGTCCTCGGCTACCAAGCCACTTATTCAGTTGCAGTATAAAGGATCTAAAGGAACGGGTCCCGATTGGTTGCCTTTGAAACAGGATTGGAGCAAAAGGTTTTGTATCCTTCCGGAACAATATACCGAAGATTTTGCAAGGCGTATAGATGAGTTTGAAACGAGAGATGGCGATGTTTTTGTGGTGACATTTATGAAGTGTGGAACAACCTGGATGCAGGAGTTGGCCTGGCTCTTATTGAACAATCTGGACTTTGAGCGAGCTAAAACAAGCCACACTGTAAGAAGATGTCCCCATATAGAGTGAGTATTATTCCAAAAATATTAGGAATATTTTAACAAGGTTTCTTGTGAGAGATTTTTAACAGGCTGCAGTTTTTCTAGACACCCTAATTTAATTATAAAATATTTTACTTAACTTTAAATCATGAAAAGATACATTAAAGATTTTAAAAAAATTATGATAATTTTCTTTCAGACATTCTGTTATAAATAACAAGATACCTGTGGATACTATTTCAGTGTGCGATCAGATGCAGGATAATCCTCGTTTTATAAAATCTCACCTTCCCGCACAACTTTTGCCGCGACAAATTTGGGAGCAGAAACGAAAAATTATCTACGTGGCCCGTAATCCCAAGGATGTTGTCATATCATCCTTTTACTTTCTCACTAATCTCAGGCTTTGGCAGGGAAATATGGATGATTATATAGACGAGTTTATCACAGATCGGATTTATTTTGCACCATACTGGTCGAATGTTTTGGACTTTTATCGAATGCGTAACGAAAGTAATGTCTTTTTTGTGACCTTTGAGGAAATGAAACAGGATCTGAAGGATGTCATTGAGAGGCTGTCGAGGTTTTTGGACTGTAAAGTCTTGAGTGAAATGGAAATTGATATGCTGGTAAAACACTTATCATTTGATAAAATGAAAGGTAAGTCTATATTTATTGATTATTTATTATTGAATTTTTATTCATTGAATATTTAATATTATTATTCATTATTTTTCAGAAAACCAGTTTAATAATCCCACGGAATTGATTAGGACTGCTTTTGAGACAAAAGAAGATTTTAAGTAAGCATAATTTTGTTAATTAATTTTAGAGGAACATTTTAGAATATATATGGTATATACATATATATTTTTTTCTTTTTTCATAGTTTTATGCGGCGCGGCATTGTGGGATCTTACAGAGATGAACTAAGCCCTGAGCAAATAGAAAAATTGGATAGATGGACTCAAGAATATTTACAAGAACATGGATTGAATGAATCTGATATTTTTGGAAATATAAAATAAAATACAAATAAAGTTCAACAATAAAGAAAGCTCAGTTTCGAGCGCTGTTTTTTATATCTTTTGCAGTTTGAAATTGATTTATTAAAAAATGTATAAAAATATATTAACTTAAATTATAATATTTAAATACATCCTCTGAAATATAATAAACCTAAGCAATTTCAGTTCAGAAAGTTATTATTTTTATACCCTTGCAGTGTATTATAATTTCAGTCAGAAGTTTGCAACGCAGTGAAGGAGACGTTTCCGACCCTATAAAGTATATATATTCTTGATCAGCATCAACAGCCGAGTCGATCTAGCCATGTCCGTCTGTCCGTCTGTCCGTCTGTCTGTCTGTCCGTCTGTCTATCCGTCTGTCCGTCTGTCCGTCTGTCCGTCTGTCTGTTTCTACGCAAACTAGTCCCTCAGCTGTAAAGCTTTCTGAATGAAACTTTGCACATAGTCTTCTATATACTCTCACTGCTATATATGTCGGAACGGGCCGGATCGGACGACTATATCATATAGCTGCCATACAAATGTTCGAAAAATTTTTAGAAAAAAAATTATAACTTAACTGTTTTCCAACATATGTGCACTATTTTTTACATATGACCATTTTATATTATTTCTGAATTTTGGTATAAATTTTATGAAAATCGGCCAACTATATCATATAGCTGCCATATAAACCGATCGGTAGGTGTAGGGAAAATGTAAAACTGGGAATGTAAAACTGTAACTGTCAAACTCTCAACATAATAAGTATAGGTAGAATGCAATGAAATAATATTTGCAAGGGTATACAAACTTCGGCGTGCCGAAGTTAGCTTCCTTTCTTGTTATTTATATTTCAAAGTATTTCATTGTTTTCTAGTTATTTATCTTTCCCCACCTCACAGTAATGTTTAAGAAAACTAAACCCAGCTTTAATCTCCTCACTGAACCCCCAAAAATTAAACCCAAAACTTTCGCATCGTATAAGATGGATTTAGAGGCGTAGCAGACCTCTCTCTTAACACTCTTGGCTTTTAAGCCGCAGTCTTGGCCAAAACGCTGCGCGGTTTAAGCCACACGCTATCGGCTGTTTCTCTGTTTCGGACGGCTGTGTTTTTGTGTCTGTGATAAACAAGTAAAATGCATCAGAAGAACCTGCTTCTAGTGCTGCTCTTAGTGGTAATTGGTAGTATTTTCTACTATCTTTACAACCTAAAACTAGAACGGGAGCAAACGGAATCCGTGTCATCAACGACATCGCAACTGCAGGCGGTGTTCGAGGCAAAGGTTATACCCCAACTCGGAGCTCTGGGCCGTCCGGCGAGGGGCAACTGGACGGCAAAGCAGCTGGAGGCCATGGCACAGAGTCAGCGGGAAACGGGTTACAATGCCTGGCTCTCGGAGCGCATATCACCTGAGCGCACGCTCTATGACATGCGGCATCGCAGGTGAGAGCTTCAAGAGCTTCCAGAGAGCTGTAGAAGTATAAGAGTATAGTGATGACGATATTTGTACGATCTTCCGATCTCTACAGCTGTAAAAAGCTTGATTACCCGGCGAAAAAGCTGCCCTCGGTGAGCGTGGTGATAACGTATCACAACGAGGAGGCAAGCGTTCTGCTGCGGACGTTAAGCAGTCTACGTAGTCGGACTCCGGAGCTGCTGCTTCGCGAGATCATACTGGTGGACGATGGCAGCCCCACGGTGGATCCCAAGCTCAAGGACTTCTTCCAGGTCAAGTTCCCCGACAAGTTGAGACTCCACCGACTGGACACCCAGGTGGGTTTGATGCAGGCACGAGTGGCGGGCGCCCAGTTAGCCCTGGCTGATGTCCTACTCTTTCTGGACTCCCATGTGGAGGTCACACAAGGCTGGCTGGAACCGCTGCTTTCACCTATTCTGGAGAACAACAAAACCTGCACCACGCCCATCATCGATACCATTGATTATGAGAATCTGGCCTATAGAAGGGGCAAGCCTTCGCGGGGCTTCTTTGACTGGGAGTTCAACTACATACAGTTGCCGCTGCTCAAGGAGGAGGCAGTGGCCATGCCGGCACCCCACCAGAATCCCATCATGAGTGGCGGACTCTTTGCCATTGGACGTCAATGGTTCTTTGAGCTGGGAGGCTATGACAAGGGCCTAAAAATCTGGGGAGCGGAGCAGTTCGAGCTGAGTCTGAAACTGTGGCTGTGTGGAGGCAGAATCCTGGAGGTGCCCTGCTCTAGAATTGGCCATCTCTACCGGGAGGGCAGCTTCAAGGTGCACTACACTGACAAGGGCAAGAGCAGTGAAGAGAAGCTGATATCGAGGGTGAGTGGGAGTTAAGGAATGTCAGGATAAGAATTGATCTTATAAATTCCGAAAACCTTTCAGAACTACCGTCGCGTGGCCGAGGTTTGGCTGGATGAGTACAAGGATAAACTGTTTGCCAATATGCCCCACTTGACTGTGATCCAGGCGGGAAATCTGGCCGAGCAGCGGCAGCTCAAAAAGCGTTTAAACTGCAAACCCTTCAAGTGGTTTCTGGACAACTTGGCTCAGGACTTTCTGCAAGTATATCCACTCAAAGATCCTGGTGACTACGCCTTTGGCACACTGCAAAGTATGTCTTCTCCGGAACTCTGCTTGGATCGCACGGAAACCGAACCTAGTCGCCCTCAACTGAGTCCCTGCAGCTCGGATCCCACCTTTCCAAGCAAACCAGAGCAACAGTGGGTTCTTACCAATCGGTGGGAGCTGCGCTCTGGCTTTCGGTGTCTGGAGGTGCGTAACAAGTCCGTGGATGTCCACGTCTACCAGTGTCACCGCCAGAAGGGCAATCAGTTTTGGTCATACGATACCAAGACCCATCAGATTGTCTTTGGCCAGAATGCTAACGCCAGGAGGTGTCTGGAGGTGGAACCGGAGAAGCATGGAGTAACCATGAGGGATTGCGATCCAAATCAAGCCAAGCAGCGTTGGAAATTTGGATATCAGAATAACGAGAGACTGAAGCATTTCTGGGATAATGTCAAGACCAATTAGGATGAAGTAGTTTTTTTCCTTTTAGGTGCCAATAGCTATTACTTAGCTTTTTGTTATATTTTATTTACTCAAGGTTATCTTTTATAATTTTGTATTTATTTAAGTTAAAGAAAAGCCAAGAGATTATTTTGATTACTTATTAATAAAGAAGCTGTTACAAATTCTAGGTAAAATAAATAAGATAATAATTTTTTGACTTTAAATACTGTTTTTAAATTGAGTAAAGATGAAACTACAGTCCTGCTGTAAAAAGTACTAACTCTGAGCTACTTTTTTATTCCAAAAAACTCGTCCCTCTTGATCTTCAGTGTTCTGTTCTACCTCCTGATGTCCTCCAAATATCCGAACTTTGTAGGTGAAATAATACAAGTTGTAGATGTCCATGATGTGCTCCAAGTGACTGCATATGAATTGCATGGAAACTGGAAAACTCAGCTGCAAAGTAAGAGTTTGATATAGAATCAGTGTTAAGTAAAATCTATTAACTCACATCAATCACTGGGTAATAGGAATGATCCAGGTAGTATTTGTGATGATCTTGTGATTTGTTCATCTGCCCACCCAAATGCAAGTCTACCTCGAAGGGCAGAAAGCGATGACCCCGCCATTCATCGCGGCTATCCCCGGCCAAGACATTGACATTGGTAAGACATCTGCCCAGTTCCTCTGTGGCCTCGCTGTCAATCTTGACGGGACTGCAAATGCTGCTATTGGGTAAAGCTTCCAAGACAAAGGCCTCGAGGGCAGCTCTACTAAAGACTATGCCAGAGCCTTGGTGCATGAAGACCTAAAGAAATATTTCTAAATTTTTAAAATAAATTTTTATAAATATGTTGTTAGCTTACCAGACCATTGGGTGTCCTTAGTTTACAGCCAAAATATACAAGTTCATTGGGACTATAGGTGCTCAGCATCTCACGCAGGTTCTCAACCACCACAAAACTTGAAAGAACATTGAATATTTATCAGTACTCCTAAACAATTAAGCCCCACTTACTTGTCATCATTTGCATAGAGAAACCAATCACCCTTGTGGATGTGATACCCTTGGACGTACTCCAGGTGGGCTCTGATTCGCTCCCACCGGCTGTGCAGATGCAGGAATACCGCCGGCTCCAAGAAGTGGTCAATATCGTCGCTGACAAACACAAAGTGATCGCAATGCTTGGCCCAAGTTCGGAGGATGTGTATACCGGCATGCTCATGCCGGTACTCATAGGTGACTATAATGCAGAAAATCCTAGGCGGCGGAGGAGCTACCAAGATGTCCTTCTTTTCGAGATTCTCTCGCTGCAGTTGCATTACCATCACCAGGAATATGAAGCACAGGAGCAGGATATATATCCCATTGCAAGGGCTGCACTTGTTTTTTACTCGACTATTGAATAGTCGTGGCATTGCGAAAGCACTTCTTGAAATGGCGAGTTGGCGAATTGGAGACCATGGTGGCTGGTCCGTCGACAATTTAATTATGGTGAGTGCTTTTGTCTGCTCAGAGAGCTGTTCTGCGTTGCCTTTGGTTTCGTTTTCATCTTCTCACCCCGCCCGCATACAAATTGCCTTTTTCAATTAGAATTATTAACCCACCTGCCGGCATCGAAGACGTTGTGCCATTCGATTGACGATAATGGCTTTCGAGTTGATGCAAAACTTTACAGTTGGCAGCGGGGACTTGACACGAAAGGAAATAAACTTGAGAGTTGTCCGGGAAAAGGGCTGGGCTTTGGATGCTAAACAAATTTAAAGTGGTGTATCGATGGCCACCTGGTCTGGTGGCTACTTGCTGCTGTATTGTGACATATTCGCTGGAATCCCGGCCCACAGCTTTGGTATCGGATTTAAACACGTTCCCAGATTTGCATAGATACTTTGTATCTATTTTTGGCCTGTCACAGATATAAACCGTAAACAAACATGTTTCAATCGCCGGCAAAAAAACAAAACATCTGTGTGTTTATGGATTTCAATAATCACATGTATGGATTTCATGTGAAAACCCTACGGAACCTGTGTCTCAGTTTACGTGCTCAAGTTACCACATGAGTTGTGTCATCTACCAACAGGTAATGCGAGAAAGGCCTACACATGATTAGGGTTACAGGAAGCAGCAGCAAAAAGTGCAATATTGTGCACATTTCTCAGCTCTCAGGCATGATGCAACAATGACACTTGGCCAAAGAAGGGAAAAAACGAGGAAAAACGGAAGTAATTTTGTACAGACAAAAGGGCAATGGGAAAATTGAGACGACAGATTCATTGATGAACACGTTTACCAGCCTTCCCACCCCCTAACTTTCCCGCATGTGAAATGAGCTATGTATGTGGGTTACTCCGGCTTACTAGGAACCCACTCTCGTTTGCCAATTGAAACATCAGACAGCTGCCAGAGGTGAGTCCTTTATTGAGGCCCAAATTCTATGGATTGTGGCACAAAAGTGCCAAAGACTTTCATGCGATAAAGAAAGTAATAGTAATCGTACATTTGGGGCGGATATTCCACACGAAAGGCTATGGCGCTCAGGGATATGGGAACGGTTTTCTGTAAAGATAATTTATATCAAATTAAATATTTTAAAAGAAAATTGAGAGTTCATAGTTTACCTCATCTACTTTGTGGTAGGTTAGGTTGTGCAGCCACTTTATAGAATCATAGCCTTCCATGAACTGGTGATCCATGCCAATGGGAATAAAAGTCTCGTTTCCAAACTCATCTCTACTGTCCACAATGGTGGCATTTACATGGCTTAGGCAACGATTTACCTCCAGACCCTCAGTAAAGCCCTCCAGATGAAGGCAGTGCTTGTTATTGGGTTCTTTGGAGGCAATTGTATAGCGCCTTAAGGCCTCATGACTAATAACATAGCCACTTCTGGCATAGACAAAGGGCTGTATAAAGAAAATATTTTATAAAATATTTAATTAAATTTAATAATTAATTTCCAGGCTCACCTCATGTGTATAAATATTCTCTAGTTCATAGCCAAAGTAGATCGGTTGACTAGGCAGATATTTCCTTCGATCTATCATATACCGGAGATTCTCTAGAACCACAAAGCTGTAGGTGGGAAAGTACTTAAACAACTGGCGAAAATTTCCTATGTTTGTTGTTTTTGTGTTTTGATAATTCTCATTCTTCATTCACGTCACAAAATCGTGCATATCAATAAAAAACCATCTCTGATCCGCTGTGCATACAAACGCCCAATGCAAATAGGTACAAATGTTAAATGGCCAAAAAAAAAAAAACCTAACTAAGCAAACAATTGCCATTTAGAAAACAAAAAAAAAAACCGTGTCAACAACATGGCAAGATCCGTTTTTGAATGAATCGTGGACACGCCAAGCAAACAAAGTCCAAGTTCAAGCCGCAAATGAGTGAGGCAAACAGAGCTGGCTAAAATTGAAAAATAAGCCAGGAAAAAACAAAAAGTGTGGAAGAACATTAACATTTCGACTTGATTGTTTGCCAAAGATATAAGTAATTTTTGAGGTTGAGGTGCTATATAGTAGTACTTGTAGTTAAGGAGGCCTAAATGTCAAGAGTCTCGTATTAAATATGACACATAAATATTCTCCTTGAGCCTGTCCCATAAAACGTGAAACTTTAGTGATAATTACCACAGACATAAAGTTTTAATTACCGCCAAGTCAAGTTATCAAGTCATTTCAACGACGATTAAGCGGGGCATAAATATTCCAATTTAAATTCAATCGATTTTGTAATATTCTATGGCCGGTGTTGACAACACACTCAATAAATTCAAATTATGTGTGACGGCGTAAATTAGGGAAAACTATTTCCATTGACAGCCATCCGGCACACTTAATTGACCCCAAGACACGCACTCTTTTACCAAATTCCCGATAGTGCACACTCAATATTAATCAAGAGAAGGAAATTCCGGCAATTTATATAGCCAAGTATATAAATAAATTTTTTTAATTGAATTGCACTTTTTGCAGTGCGCAAAAATCAAAACAAATTGATAAGCAAAATGTTATATGAGCAAAATCCGAGCTCAACTGAGTGACCCACATTTGACGGCCTCCGATTGATGCCTGTCCATTATTGTCTGTATACATGATTTGATTATAAGTTATATATTTACATTTTGAGTTAGTTTTGTTCCTTTTGCATGCTGGGAACTAATGGAGAATCCATTGGGATAGGGTTGTGCTCGAGGAGCATTCATTTGTCAGGTTATCAGCATAATCTAATACAAACTATGCTAATGGTTGAACGGAAAGCCATGGGAAAATGTTCCCCTCCTATCCCTGTCCCGAAATTTGTTCCAATTATGACGGAGAACCTCCCAGGAGAGCAATCAAGCAACAGGGAATATATATAGTCTCCATTGTGTTGCCCCTACAAAAGACAGATAAACTACCGCCGCCGCCGGCTATAGAAGATACTCGCACTTCCTTGCCGCATTTTTCTCGCTGCGATAAAGGAAACTCTCTCTCTCCGTGGGCCAAAACCACAAAGGGAAGCCCCAGAAAAATCGAACGACAATGCGAAGAATAGAACGGAACCGACTGGGAACCGGGAAAGGGAATGGGAAAGGGAACGGGAACCTAAACATAAACGGGAACATCGAAGACCCAGACCAAGCCCAAAACCCAACTCGAACACAAACAAAATACTGCCGAAGGCTGACTGATAACTTTATCAATGAAAGAAGTCAAAATATGTTGAGTGAGGCGGCCACCGAACTCGGTGCTCATAAAAATAAACAACACGAGTAAGTAATAATGCACTGAAAAAAATTAATTTAATTGATTTTATATTAAAATAAACAGGAAAGGAAAGATTTAAGGCAATTTAAAGACTTAACTTTTGAACAAAAAATATATATAAATATATAACTTAATGAAAAATCTTTTTTACCATTTTCTCTCAGTGCAACAGCAACAATCGAATACTTAAAATATCATAACAATATGAAATGCGATAAAGGCGACATGACAAAGAACTCATCGGCAATTTACGACTGCGTTGAGCAATTCAAATGAAGTTATGTTATGATCGGGCTAAGGATGGGAATCGATCGGTAGTCTCAGTCTCACCTTGAGGGCTCCACGCGGAGAAACCAATCCACTTTGTCGCCATAAAATAGAAAGGCATGCATCAGCCCCTGATGAACCAGGGTCCAGGTTTCCGTGGCATTCACCTCGGCCACGTAGGGCTCCAGTTCCATGTCGATGTCGCCGCTCACAAACAGCAGCACATTGCAGTGCTTGCCCCAAGTGCGTTTCACAAACTTGGGAGTATTGGGCTTATCATAATCATAGGGTATCATGCAGAGTATCCTTATGTCATGGTACAGGGGATCCACCTCTGAATTAGTATTCAATTTCTTTGGTTTCCTCTCGATTGCACTAATATTAAAGTAAAGTGTGATCACCAAGAACAAAATCAAGACCAAGAACAGCCCATAATAGACACGTCTGTGCGAAGTCATAGCTTCCAACTAAACTGAAATTAATTTCAGGCCACAAGAAGTGGGAATATTCAATTTTAGATAAGACAATTTATCAGTCCATAGTTTTAGATTAACCCTCTATATTTCTTAGGGGTTTCGATGTGCACTCAAGCTTGGTACGCGGAAGTCATCGTTTTAACCGGCTTTTGTTTATGGTCAAGCGGTTTTTCAGTGGGATTAGAGGAAGCAAAAATTCTCTCTACTTAGACAGTTCCTATAATTAAACATGGAATTGGTTCTTTATTTTTTTTCTGCGCAAAAAAATAATCTTGATTCTGCGGTCGTTGGCTTAATTGCAGCAACACAAAAAGCTAAATTGGTGAATGCTACTCTGACGATTGCATGTTTGGTTTTATTAGTTAATTAAAATATTTGTTAAGCCGGGCCAAGTGCTAACTCAATTGGTTGTGCAAATTAAGTGTAATTACACGATTGGTTAGCCGCCGAGAGCAGATAGTTTTGATAAGATAATCGCTGCACTGATTAAATTTTAGTAAACCAATCGTGGGTCATCATGATGTACTAGCTGTGATTAGCTAATCCCTGGCTTATTCAAATAATCAAATCATTTGGCAAACTGTCATTTGAGCCGCAATTAAATCAAAGGGCTATAAAATGTAAATATCCCCTGGGTTTTACTGCATTTCTGTTTAAGAGAGATGATCCAACAACAACCTGCTGCTTCAAATCTCTGGCAGGCCAAACAAACATTAAGTTACAAAATAAAAACCTTTGGCCCATAAAATTAAACCGCAGCCAAATACGCAGAACAGACAAGAGAAAAAAGGAAAAACAAATTGTTGGAGAGAAAAACAGGCTAATCTCGTGGCGCGAGCTTATCAGGAAAACAAACCTGCAGCAACCCACTTTATATGTATCCGCATCTGTGGCTGTATCTGTATCTGCGTCTGCATCTCCATCTGCATCTGTAACCGCTGTGTCGGGCTGCTGCGCTAGCTCCCAATCCAAGTTACAGTCTCATAAGCACACTGGGGAAAATTTTAGAAATGTTTTAATATACTTACCTAATTTTCTTTACAATTTAAATATCTAAAAATAATATCTTTGACTACTAGAAATTTTTAAAATAATTTTATTAATTTCTAATTCATTTATTCTTCGTTTCTTATTAATTCCCTTAGTTTAAAGAGCTCTCCTAATTTCTCCCTCTGCACACCTTCAATCCCAAATCCCATTCTTAGTCCCAAATCCAATCCGAACCCCCCACCGCTGCACCTTTGATGTTCTTGTGATGGCAGCGCCCAAGATAGGAACAGTTAGCTCGACGCAGTTAACTCGTTCGGTCGTAGTTTTCCCGCTGGGGTTTTATGAGCCGGGTTCACGTCCACAGTACCGACTATCTTGCAGCATGCCCATAACTTTGAATCATACAACTTTTATTTGCATTTTTATTTGTTTTCCTCAGAATAGCGCTCCTTCAACTTTTGTATATATAGGTATATATTTTTTATGAAGATAGAATTTAATTTTGATTTCGTTTTGCTTTTGCTTTTGTTTGGCAACGCAATCGAGGTAAATACTTGGCTTGAATTTAGCATAAAGCTCCACTTGAGATTGTTGTTATAAATAAATATTTTGCTGAATTTTCAGATTTAACCACAAGGAGAACGACGGTTCTGTCAGTAACTAATTCGCATTCTATGCTTGACCTAATCTCAAATTGCCTTTTCAGGCGGCTCTCGAAGCCAAGCCCAGGCCCAATCAATTTATTGTTATTCTTTATTGAATTCCAATCACAAAATTCTAACAATTTTCTTGAACAGAAATTGAGTTTACTTTATATTTCTTTTTTTTCTTGTTAGGTAATGTGTGGCATGTGAAACCACAGCCTCCGAATTTATATCTTTCCTTGGGTAGCGGCATACCAGGAGCCCAGAGCTGCGATACAGATAATTTATCTAAAAAAAAAAGCTTTTAATTTGTTGCTATCTAAGAGCTTTTACTACATTCCACTATATCTACATATATGGAAAACACTTTTTGAGCAAATATTTATACAAGCGCCGCATTCTCGCTTGCCATTTACAATAGCAAACACATCAAATTGCAAAATCCTCGCCTTGGCAGAGGCTGTTGCTGCTGCCTTTTTATTTATTACTTTTGTGTGTGTGTGTTTGCCTGCATTCTTTATTTATTCTCAGTGCTGTTTTCAAACCTTTCATTCACCTTTGAGTTGAAATAAAAGCCGGGTAAATAACGCAGAAGCGTCAGTTAGCGATGATGTTTGCCCAAAGTCTAAAGGGAATTTAACGCATGACATTTAACAAAAGTACAAAAACAAAAGCTCCGAAACCGAAACTGACACGGCAGGTAAACAGATTTGAGGCAGTGTGTGACTTTTAATAAGAATCTTGCCAGAGCATAGGTAAACACCGGTAATCCCTGGTAACCAGCCTTGAATAACTCTTATTATTTAAATAATTTTCCATAATTTTTAGGTCATTGGGCTTAACTGAAAATTTAAATATTGGCTCAGTGCTGTTTACACAGTTGTTGTAATATTTTTCGTGTTTATTTCGAGGCTGAAACCAATTTAAATATTATGGCTTGTTTGTGTTATATATGTATAGTTTTTACAACGCCGCGTTGACCCCATAATAATATTTATAGAAATGGACAAATGCTCACATTTGGTGACCGTTTTCCAAACCGTTCATTCGTTCGTTCGGGCTTGCCAATTTTTAATTTAGCCTTTGTTTTGGTATCGGTCTTAGCCGCCTGCACAAAAAAGTGGGTCAAATGTTGCGTATTACGCTGTGCTGCCTTTGAGCCCGGCGGCTGTTGGCCAACCGGTTTCGCTTTCAAATATCGGCGGCATTTCGTCTGAGTGTATCCCCCGAGTATCTTCCAGATACAGCCTCAACATCGACTGGGACTCCAGTTTGAGCCACGAATTTTTTGTAGTTTTTTGGCGCTTAATTGAAAATTCATTCAGCCAAGTCAGCGAGCGTAAACGTGGGCTAATGTGCATTTTATTAATAAATTGTCCGCTTCATTAGCTCGGGGTTAGGCCTTTTGCCCCGGCAACCTGCAACTTTCACCGATGGATATATGCAGATGCGGCTGCATCCGATGGATGGATGGGCTTTTAATAAATTGCCCTTTGGTTGCGCTTTCTCGGAGGAGTCCACAGAGTTCGAGCTAATTATGTTGTTTATGTTGTATAATATTTTGATGGTCGCGGTGCGCGATCTACACATGTTTTTGTGGCCGGAGCGCCGTTAAAGCCGGCAATGCAAATGCTAATGGAAATAAAAATTCAAATAAAAATGCAAATATAAAAATGCACATTAAAAATGCAAATAAAAATACAAATATAAAAATAAATAAAAGTAAAAAATTGACTTGCTTTGAAGCCGCCAAGGTGAAAGCATAAAAAAGGCAAGCCTGCCACTGGCAATTTTCTTTCATAAGCAATCGGGGCTTTAACCCATTACACCTGGTAATTAGCATGCGTAACATAAAAGCCGATACTAAAACTCATTAGCAGCAATTTCAGGTGTGCACTGGAATTATTTGTTTGCAATGCCATAATGGCAATGAAATTTTATGGCACTCCTAAGGCGCTGCTGTAATACGTAGCTACACGGCAAGAAGTGTTCTCGAAAGATATTTATATCAAAGTCAGAAAAACTGCTTTAATTAAGATAATAAATAACATTATCTGCTGCTTTGAATAACAAAATTAATTCATTATAAATTGATTTGTAGACGCTGAGTATTTACGTATATTTTAATATATTTATTAAGGTATTCTAATCGTATTAGCCTTTCTGCATTAATTATTTTACTGTTTAAAGACGCTAATATATTTATTTATTTTGTTTACCACTTTTGAATATACATACTGTATATTTCCACAAAATTGTATTATTAAACTTGCCACTGATAAATTACCTTTTTTTTATGGTCTAGAAAATATTTATTTGTTTTGTTTATTATGTTGTTGGAGCTAGTAAACTTCACATTATCTTGATTTATTATAGATTTATTATTCAATAAAAATATGGTTGATTAGCATTTTGGGAGGGAAAGAATTTATTAAATTTTGAAGAGATTATTAACACTATTAAATATGTTATTTATTTTGTTTTATATATTTTAAAATATTAAATATATACTGAAATTTCTATCTATGTTTTTTTGTTTCTAGTTTATAATTTAGAACGTAATACAATTTGTTTTTGGTAACCTACACTTTTAGTTTTCTTTGCTTTCGATATGGAAATGGAACGTGAGGGGATTACCTGAGCCAGTGACCACGCGCTTCAGGTTGGAATTTTTTGGCATGGTTTTAATGAAACAATTTGCACACATTGCGGCAAACTGGCAAACCGACAAATCGGTGGGCGTGTTTTTGGCCAGGGGATAAAATTCATAGATCATTCGGGCGCTTGGAAAAGCGAGAGAGTGAGAGCTTGGAGCCTTTGTTTAAATATTTATAGATACCAGACATGAGGCTACGTTGGTTAGGCGTCGCATCGGGGAATATGTCATAAACTGTCAAATAAACTAAAAGCGATTGTAAATCATTCGGGCAATTGTAATTAATAATTATTTTGTTTTGCATAAGCCCCGCCATCGTCGCTTGCAGGTGACTGAAGTTCACTGTTCCCACCGATATGCAAATGGTTTCAGCCAAGAGGTTATTCCCCGGAACCGTGACTACTGTCACTGCACCCATTTCACACTTCCCCAGGTACTACGGATCACCGGCGATCGCTGGTCGTCGTGAGATAAATAACTTTTATTGCGGTCGCATAAATGCAATTTATTCGCACTCTACCAATGTGAATTTCTAGTTAGTTGTCGGTGATTTGTTTACCCATTCAAATGGTAATAACGATAATAACGAAGCACGGAAACGGCCGCTGCAACTGCAACCGGTAGTATCTATAAATACAGCCCCGACGGCCGATGATAATACATTATTATTGTGATAAAAAACAACAGTCACATGGCGGCAAAGAGCGACAAATCCATTGCAATGCCATATATAAATTTCCATAGAATACATTGCATATGCTGATGTCGATAGGGCACAGATAGAGCTACGATATTAACTCAGTGGCAGCCGTTTGTTCAGGTTAATCAGGTGCTATCTCAAGTGGAGATGGAATGCAACAAAAATAAAATGCAATGTTTGAACGTGGGGAAAAGCTGAGAAAACGATGAAAAGATGGAGCAAGACCTACCGCAATCCGTATTGCCTTCGGACGGGGACGATACACGTTTTCCGGCACGGGAGCAGAGTCACGTCCAGCGATGCTAGGAAGACCCCTGTGTTCGAGATCATTTATTATGTCTATTGTCTCTAGTACCAATCCGAGGCGATTTGCATACCTATACATGGCTCTGCCAGCTTATCATGGCGAAATTATAATTGCACAAATGTTGCACAATGGCAATGGAATAAGCTATCACGTCCCCCAGCTCAATGTCAAATCGAACTGTCTCTATCTGTCCATCTATCTGTATCTAGCTATCTGTATCCCAGCTATCTCAATCCGCCGGAGGGAAAGCTATTTGTAAAGCTCAACAAGAAACGTGGGGCAAGTTCCGTGGCAAAAGGATTTGTATGCCATCTGTTCGTGGCGTCAATCAAATCACTTGCTGCAGCATCAATGAATCAATTTGAATGCCAAACTGATTGATGGCAAAATAATAATCAATGCCAGGGCGACAGATGGAGCGAATCACAACGTTAAAGACTCGAATTGTAGTTTGTTAAATTCATGTATAATTTATTAATAATTAGCTTGTGGCCTACTTAACCCTAATGACAATATGGGAATCAGTGTTACATTAAGTACAATCTGTTGTCGGTTTAGTAACGTCTTTTGATAATCACAGCGCTTAGTATTATATAATGCATGTATCTCTCGAGCATGAACGAAGGAAAATATCACAGTTTGGGCTCGGTATCCGTGAGTTTGAGGCTTCACCGCTTGAAATCGTCTTTCGCCTTGGATTTCTTCTTCTCGTCGACGGTTTTGTAGGAGCTGCCGAATACCTCTGCATAACTGGGCACAATTGGCATCAACACAAAGTTCGGCTTAGTCTCGCATGTGGGCGATGTTGCGGCGGCTGTTGGTGTTGCTGTTGCTATTGCTGCTGCTGATGGTGCTGATGTTGCAGTTGCTGGCAGCAGCGGCATGGTGACCTCACACAGCTGAAGAGGAGGTGTTTGCTGGCTAACCAAGCTCTCAACTGTGGGGGCAGCAGGCTGTACGGGCACCTCCTGGATGTTACTGCTGCTCCTTTCCTGCTTATTGAACACATTGAACACACTCGGATAGACAATCAGGCACGATGACTGCGGCGACTTTTGCAGCAGCTCGAGAGCCGCCTCGTAGCTGGGCAGACCCGATACCAGAGTGTACTCCGGCACCGGATCCTCGGCCTCCGGATGCAGCTTCAACGCCTCAATGTCCACAATGGTGCACTGCGTTGAGCCATTTGAATTGTTGTGATCTGCAAAAGAACAAAGAACAATAATTGTTTATTAGTAACTGGCATTTTGGAGTGGGGAATAAAGAGGGTGATAGACGTGCTTGGAGATTAATGGAGAGACCTCGACCTAGTTGCATTTGTTTTTCTCTTACTTTTCAGTGCCATTAACTCGCTGAAATATTTTCTCTGGCGTAATTGCCTTGGCACCACTTTCGAATTGAAGGTAGTTGAATTTCACTTTTCGCATTTATTTATTTTTATTTCGCTGCTGACGATGTGCTAATTTTTCAAGACTTTTTGTTACTCAAAAATCACAGACAGAGAGTTAGAGTTTGTTATTGAACTTCTGAACTGAAAAAAAAAACATAAGTTTTACGACCCCGGCAAGTGGAGGATATATTAATGAGATTGTAGCCTTTGACTAGACCTGATACGGAGTGAGTCATTAGCTAATGATGACGGAGATGTGGAAGCACTTAAGCCCAAAGTAAGACGCATTAAAAGATTTCCACTTCTAATGGAGTATTTCCTAGATTGCTGTCGAAATGCTAACCTAATTTCCTATCATTAAATGTTTTATTAGGCTTCTCTTCTTCCATAAAAAACTGTGGAATTTTTGCCTTTGATATTATTTTTGGCTAATCGGACGCCACACACACTCGATAAGATTCCAATCTCAATTAGCTTTTTGGGGTTTTGCCAATGCGGAATACTTACAATTGCGCTTCCAGGTTCGGAACTGATGGTACAGGAAGCAGGAGCAGATGCAGAACACCATCGAGATGAGGATCAGGGTGAAGACGATGCCAATCCACACCTCGTTCATGAACTTGTCGTACTCCAGCTGCTGCTGCAGCTGATCCACACTGCTGCTGTCCAGCACCACACGGTTGGCCAGATCGAAATCCATGATCTCTTCCGCGTTGCTGGAGCTGGAGTTTCTTGCAGGAAGGTGATGCTTCAGCTGAATGGAGCTGAGTATTTGGGCGCCAATCTGCTTAAGGAAGTCACTGTTGGCCAGTGCGTCGAGCGTGCTAATTGTGGGCGTGGAGGAGGCCTCGACAACGGGGGAACTGCGTCCGCTGGTGAGGATCTGTTGGGCGGCGGCGCCGGCGTAGTGATCGAAATGCAGGTCGTGCGAAAGCTCGTAGTTTAGTGCTCGCGGCAGGCCCTCCATGGCTGGCTTTTATATATGTGTCGCTCTTGTAAGATAGCTATCTCTAGGTATCCGTATCTGTGTCGGCACACTTTCACTGTATCTTGCGGATCGTTCTTAATCTCGTTTTCCGTTTCTTTCTCTCTTCTCGGAGCAGAAACACGACCGGCTACCTCTAAGTCCACAAACAAACTGATTTGTGATCCGGAGTACGATCCGGCGATCAGCCCCGAGCAGCATTGCCAGCTCAATGTGGTTTCACTCAAGAGAGTCAGAGAGTGGCAGAGCGTCAGATAGCGAGTGAGAGCTCAAAGCTACCTGGCCAAGATCACTCCTCTCACGCTGCTGCTGCTCTTTTGCCGCTACGCCACGCACCGCTGAGAACGTTCTCTTGCCGTGAAACGATCTTGTAATTCTCCGGAGCGTATCTTTTGTGCTCCCACAGACAATGCCTCGAATTATGGTCCCATAATTGGCGTTACAAAGCGGCGCACATGTTGCCCAAGGAAGCGAGAGAGAGCGGGTAAGGGTAAGGGTAAGGGAGGATCACTGAATAGAGAGAAGGAACAGGAGAAGGAGCATCGATCTTCATTTCTCAGTCGGCCTTTTCTTCTGCTGCCTTTGCTTCTTCATCTCACTCTCCTTCTTCGATTACGGATCGGTCTGCGAGCCGAGCAAATGACATATCTTCAGTTGCCTGCACTTGAAGAAAAAGGAAACTATAAGATATGAGACAATTTAGGGACGGAAAATAGTTTTAACAAGAAAGAAAACTAGCTTAGAGTAGCTGAAATTTGTTTATCCTTGGAGTTTGCATTAGGATCATGATGATCGAGTGAAAATTATAACATAACTTAGTCAAAAATGCATCAAATTTCATTCGGAAAACTTTTCTTTAGTAGTTTTTTGTAGGTTAACAAAGCTGCATACTAAATTTACAAATTTAAGAAATTCAAATTTTTAAAAATTTCGAAAAATTTAGTTTTCTTTCCGACATGCCTAGAAAGATTTGCCTGTTGATGCTGATCAATAATATATATGATTTATGGGGTCGGAAATGACTCCTTTACTGCTTTTTAAACTTTTGACTGAAATAAATTTCTACAAATTTATAATTATCTGACCTCCTTGCAATTCTTTTAAATTCATTTCTAAAAACACTTTCTCCTTTCTGAGTGTACATACAGCTCTTGGTTCTTCTTACTTTTCTTTGTTGTTTTTTATACCCTTGCAGGGTATTATAATTTCAGTCAGAAGTTTGCAACGCAGTGAAGGAGACGTTTCCGACCCTATAAAGTATATATATTCTTGATCAGCATCAACAGCCGAGTCGATCTAGCCATGTCCGTCTGTCCGTCTGTCCGTCTGTCCGTCTGTCCGTCTGTCCATCTGTCCGTCTGTCTGTTTCTACGCAAACTAGTCCCTCAGTTTTAAAGCTATCTGAATGAAACTTTGCATATAGTCTTCTATATGCTATCACTGCTATATATGTCGGAACGGGCCGGATCGGACGACTATATCATATAGCTGCTATACAAATGTTCGATATATTTTTAGAAAAAAAATTATAACTTTGCTGTTTTTCAACATTTTTGCACCATTTTTTAGATATTGCCATTTTATATTATTTCTGAATTTTGGTAAAAATTTTATAAAAATCGGAAGACTATATCTCATAGCTGCCATAGGAACGATCGGAAAATAAATAGGAAAAAAACTATAACATCGTTGTTTTTCAACATATTCTTATCTACTTTTAGAAATGAGGTTCTTTAATTATTTCAGAATTTTGGTAAAAATTTTATGAAAATCGGACAACTATATCATACAGCTGCCGTATAAACGATCGGTAAATGTAGTGAAAATGTAAAGCTGTCAATGTAAAACTGTAACTGTCAAACTGTAAACATAATAAGTATAGGTAAAATGTAATGAAACTCTGTTTGGTGAGTGTTTTCAGCATTTAAATCTATAATATAAACATCAAAACCAATCTGCAAGGGTATACAAACTTCGGCGTGCCGAAGTTAGCTTCCTTTCTTGTTTTTTTTTTGTTTTTGGGGGAAGAGAAATTATTGCTGTAGGATATAATGTGCTTGTGTTGTTGTTGTTGTTCTTGCCCAACTCCCGCCCGAAGGCCCAGAGACTTGTGTCTTGTTCTTCCCCGATTTCTTCTCATGTTATTTTTCCCTTTAGTCTGGCGGAGTTTTAAATTACAGCTACGTGCAGATATCTTATTTCGGGCAGCAATTTTGTGGGCGACGCGCTGATCACCTGGCTTTGGGTTGATCACTTTTTGGCGATAGGCAGCAGCAGGTAGGGTTAGGAACCCAGTCCCTGGGAATGGCACTATATAAATGGGGATTGGCACTGCCAGCGAGGCTCGAATAGTTGCAAGAGTTGACCATTTATGGGATTGATGTGAGTGTAATTGGAGGATTTCGTGGTTGAGAGGGGAGACAGGGAAAAGGGAGAAAAGACAAGATTATCCTTGCAATCAAAGAGGAGCGGAGCTGGGTATGACATAATCTTGGGCCAAAGATGAAGTTGCCAACGGGATTATCCCTTTGAAGTTGTCAAGGGAACATGTATTCGTTGGCAAAGGAAAATCTATGATTTATTTTAGATAGAAAGGCTTCAGGTAAATTACAAGGATTTATTTAGATACGAAAAGTATTTTATATAATGTTTTATAAGACTTTTTAGCCTTATTTTTAATATTTATAAAGTAGAAATGGTATAAACTTCTATAAACCCCTCTTAAGCTTTCAAATATATTCGAAATAAAGCCTCTATAATTCGGTCAATATATTGTTAGAACCCCCTTATAAAGTACAACAGTTTTGAGTCATTTTTTGTTGCCCAATAAATCAACAAAAAATTCTAGAGGCCTCCCCTAATAATTACCCATGAACACAGCCCCGTCCCACCTCCATCCGATTCCCCTTCGATAAAAATCACATAAATACAAGCACTCACAACAAGCGGGATAAGATCAGCACCCAAAGATGGAGGAATATGGACAAGAAATTGCCTTTTCAACAGGGAAGACAGCATCCCAAGATGAGCCTCGTTGCAATTCACAAAGGGTTGCCTATAGTCGGATTCGGGATGAGCTCATTGAAGAAGCAGAGGGCCAGCCAGCCAGCCAGTAAGTGAGCAATCCTTATCAAGATGGGCTAATCTCGTCGAGGAAATGAATCAGCAGAGGTTGCTCTGCACAAGAGACGAGATTAGCCAGAGAAGCCGGACGACGATGACGATTTTGCAGTTCACTCGGGGCGGGGCATTAGGCGGGCATTCTCTGGTTAACTGGTGGCTAACCCCAGAGGAAGACATTCAGACATTTCAGACCCATATGCCACACATCCTAGCCCACCTCTACTTACCTTAGGTATGCGGTTCTTTTGCAATCAACTGTCAGGGACCGTGAGAAGAGACAATGGCAATTTAATTAAGCAGGCTAAGGTCTTAGCCCGCCTTTGGGTTTGTCTTCAGGGGTCTTCTACCCATCGGGGTAGTTCGGTAGTTCTGCGGGGCTCTCTCCTCCATTGTGGTCTTGTCTTCGCGCCGCTTTCTTTTCCTTTCTTTGCACGTCGGCTTAGTTGACCGACTTGGGCCAAGTAGCTTTAATTTAAGACCCTAATGAGCCATTTAGGCATTCTGGGCTTTGTGTCTTCAATGCCGACTACTGTATGTGTCTTCTCTTGTGTCTCTCTGCCCCCCCCCCGAACAAAAGTTAAATTAATGAGTCCACGGTCAGTTGGAGTCTTTAGTCTTTAGTCTGTGGTGTTTGGTCTTTTAGTTTTTTTTTTTTTTTTTTTTTTTTGGGGCCTCTGTTCCGAATGCGGGTGATGCTCTGAGGCTCCGATGCTCTGATGCTGATAAAGCAGCTTAATTTTTCACTGACTCCCCGAGATCGTGGTGCTTTGCATAATGCAGTCTACAGATTTTTACATAGTTTATTAATTTTTCAGATTTCGGCTTAGGTATTTCACCTCACCTCACTTCTATCCCCCCTCGGCCGCTACTGACACTAATAAATCGGCTTAAATTTGATCTTGAGCGGTGTATTTTTTGATTGCCCGCCCAGCTGAGGGCATTTTGTAACTCGGGGGTTACTTACTATGCATATGTGTGTGCATTATTGATGATGCAGACTGACCTTAGTCAGAAGTCGGCCCCAAGAATCCAACGATCGAGCCCCTGAGTTATGCTCAGCAGTGATTTAAGTGGTTTGCCTTTAATTATATAGGAAATACTGGGACGGGGAATTACTTTGGATCGTGGCAGTGTGACTTATCTAGTTTGTTGTTTTTTCCCTATATTTTTTATAGGTATATTGCAAAGTAATTTTACAAATTGTTGCTAAGGTTACGTCAGCCTGAGAACTTGTAATAAAATGAAATTACTTTTTAATGTTTACGTTAAAGTGGGAACAACATTGTCTTTAATGGATTATCAGCCTTTACTTGTGACGTATGAAACCTTGAAAACTATTGCTGATAAGAGACTAAAGCCTCTAATGATGCGTAGTTTTTTGTTGATTTTGTTTAGAAAAGTGCGTATTTTGGGAGGTAATAGTCAGCTAGAAGGGAAGCTAAGTTCGGGCAGCTGAGGCTTTTATACCCTTGACTCTGACTACAAAAATAATACCCTGCTAGTATATGAAAAGGTAGATTAGCTTCTCAAGATCTATAGGCAAAATTAAGCCAGTGTTGCATTTAATAAAACGATTTTTAATTAATTTCTTTATTTAAATAAATCAATTTAATACCAAACCTAAAACTTCCTTCAGCTGAAGCCATTTCCCAGGAGCAATCAAACCAGCAATTAGCATCTCGGCAGGACTCACTTAGCGCCTGGGAATGAAACCCCTTGCTATATGACACTCACTTCCTTTTAACTCTAATTGAGTTGTAAATTCAACCCTCGATTTTTGGCATACATCTAAATTCGAAGTGATTTCCAAATAATTACGGGACACACTGCTCCGCTCTAATTGAGTGATCAGGAGCAGCATCAGGGAAGCATCAGTTGCGCAGCTCTCAGGATTTAAGGGAATGCCAGGACCTCGTGGCAGGAGTTCCCGAAAGAACGAAAGAACGAGAACCACCCGCCGGGGGTAGGGGCCATAAAGTCAGGACATCCTGCCGGGCAACTAGAAGCACTTGTCCTGCCCTCCACTCTGACTTTTTCTCACCCAGCCA